CCGTGTAAGCTGAAGGCATCACTTACATCATATACATGAACTGTGTTTTCGCTCCGTGATAGTTAAGGGGGCAATTTATGAAAAGATCCATGACTATTGTACTGCTTTTTGATATTTACCCTCCCCTCCCGTGGGTGGTTGGCGGGTGCTCTGGTGTGGTTTGCTTCTTCTTTCCTATCAAACATCTATCGTCCTTATCTCTCCTCCTCTTTTATGTTTGTTGCCCTCTTGTAATACCTCTAATCTTCGGCACTTTTATGGCCTTATTGTATTGCAAGTGCCGTAAAACACTTACTAAAACTAAAACTCCCTTACCCCCTTTACCGCACTTTGATAGGCACAATTTAGATAACCATTCAACATACGATGTCAATACATCGACTGCTTAGTATAAGAGCCCGCCATACGCTTCTTACTCTTTTCAACACGGGGTACTGCGGAATTTTACACTCGATATCAGCCTGTTTAAAGCAAACTGAAATAACTTAGATCTAGTGAGATCGTACAAGATAAAGCGATTGTGTGCGCGTGCTGACGCTATCAGCAAGAACAGGCACATTAGAATGTATAGAAAATAGGACCTACAATAAGGTATCTGACAGTTCAAAATTATGATTCGTCGTAACCCACGAACTTTTTTTTTCTCTATCTTTTAGTTGCATGTTCCCCACATGTACCGGTACTGCTATTGTATTGTCTTGATGACATGAATAAACCTAAAACCTCAATAGGACCTTTACATGGCAGATTTCACTATTGATTTTCTGGCCCGGGTTGACAGATGGGTCATAAAGACAGACACACACATTCATGAACAGACATACACACATGTTTACACAAATATATGTGTAGAAACCATAAACCAAACACACTTACACGATTTCACACTCACATTCACACACACATGCACACACTCACTCACACACACACACACACACACACACATATATATATATAAAACACATACACAATGGGGATTATGCTTATATAGATCAAGGTCTTATTAGTATACAGAATGAAGTTTATACATGTATGGAAAATGGCATAAGCCACGAAGTGACGGATTTTTTCCTTTATCTGTTTTGAACTTTCACATTGTCTGGCTTATTTATTTCTTTTATCAATACCATTTTTAATCAGAAACGGATGTACTCCCCCATTCCTGATATTTTCACAACGTTCATTCATGGAAACAATGACAGTAGCCCATATGAAAGGCACAAGGGAAAAAGCAGGGGATGCCACTTTAAAGCATTTTGAGATAAACAACAACAACAACAACAACAAAAACCCAACGTGCTTGACATCCCACGCGGGGTGGGAGGGGGAGGGGGTGTTGAAGTGGACGCTTACCATTCAATCTTTATTTGAATTCATAGTTTTGATAATAATGGTTATAATACATGGCATGTATAATATATAGCGCATTTCCATAATCTACAACAATGCCCAATGCGCTTCACAAGACATACGAAAAGTAACAGTCTATAAAGGAATAAACTTATTTGAGGCATTCATGCGCTACGGCCCCTGATTTTTCCTCAGCATTTAATACAATTCAACCACATATTGTCATTGAAAAACCTCTGAGTCTTGAGAGTTATTCATCATATCGCAGCATGGGTCCTGGAATTTTGACAGGCAGACCACAATATGTGAAGCTGAACAACACAAAATCTGACACAATCCTTTGTAACACCGGCGGTCCTCAGGGCTGGGTTTTGTCACCAGTATTGTATATAATATATATCAACGACCATAGAAGTTAATATAAAACAACATGCTTAATTAAGTTGGCAGATGACTCCGCAATTATTGGATTAATAAACCTTGATGAAAAAGAGTATTTCGAAGAAATATGTATGTTTTTTAAATAGTGAAATTCAAATGTTCTAAAAGTGAACCTCTCAAAAACAAAGAAAAAGATTTTTGATTTTAAAAGAGAAAAACCAACAATCCCACCTCTCGTAATTGAACAAGTAACAATTGGAATCATGGATTCATACAAATATTATCTTGGTCTTACAATCGTCAACAAATTTACATGGCAAAATCACGAAAACAATATCTTTAAAAAGGTAAATCAGAGACTGTACTTTTTGAGGAAACTTAGGTCTTTCAATCTGAATCCATCCATCCTTCAGATATTCTACACCAGCATAAGAGAAACTTTGATTAATTTTGGTATCACTTGCTATGGTAGCCATTTGGGAAGGCCACACATCATAAAAATAAATAAGTTGATCAAATAGGCTTCAAGAACAATTGGTAGTGACCTAAGTAACTTTGAACATCTGCAATAGACAAAGGCTCTAAACAGGCGGAAATAATGCTTTTAGTGATCATAGCCACCCACTGACAACGGAATTTCAACAATCGACCCGCAGTTAACGATACATTTCCAAAAAAGCTAGAACATACAGACGTACCAACTGCAGTGAGGTTACTGAACACACAGTGCTACAAATGAAAAAAAAAAAAAAAAAAGAGAGAGAGAGAGAGAGAGAGAGAGAGAGATAGATAGATAGATGGATAGATAGATAGATAGAGAGAGAGAGAGAGAGAGAGAGAGAGAGAGAGAGAGAGAGAGAGAGAGAGAGAGAGAGAGAGAGAGAGAGAGAGAGAGAGAGAGAGAAAGAATTTTTACGGAGCGGGTTGTCCCAGCACGTGAGACATGTATTTGCTAATGTCCTGTCTTGTTTTGCGTATGCGTGAGTGTATCTAACCGTTGTAACGTCAACTGACATTGTTAACGACCAAGACAAATTTCTCCCTTCGAGACGAATAAAAATTGTCATTGTCATTGTCAAATGAAACATGTACATCAATGTATTCATTCCATATTTTGTCGTGTTTCTGTTGCTGCTGCTTGTGCTGCTGTTTTCTGAATTATACATTTTTTTAAAGATATCTATCTATATATCTATCTATCTATCTATCTATCTATCTATCTATCTATCTATCTATATATATATATATATATATATATATATATATATATATATATATATATATATATATATATATTAAAATTCAGAACCCCTGGGCGGCTGAAACCGATTGTAATATTAATTCACATGCCAACTACCTCTCAGATATTATCTAGTCACTGTTATTACATTTATGACAAGTAAACTGTGAAATGCTTTTTTAACTCTTTTTTTTCCCCAACGTGTTCAAATGATAAAACCCCAAATCCCGCTACAAATGTAACTTGATAAAGACAGAAAAACTGGATCTCGATTTTAAGGTATAGTCGGTCGGTAGGTTTGGTATGGTTGTTGGGTTGGTTTTTTGTTGTTGTTTTTTTTTGGTTGTAGTAATAATTATTTGGTTGTAGATTGAAGTGCTTTTACTAGCCTCCGTCGATATCACTGAGGACGTCGAGCCACTACTCCGACTTTACCATTGCGGGATGCATAACTACCCACCATCAGAAAGACGGACATACCGGTACAAGATAACTTACTTTGCTTTACTTTATCCGTCCTCTTGTACCTCTAGCGTGTTGAGAGGGGAGAAAGAGCTTCCCGTCTTTAGCAAGTTTGTTGGCCTGTTTGGGTGGGATATTGTTTGTTCTCAGGGTTTCCTTCACACCCTAGATCCAGGTCTTTCTTGATCTTCCTCTTGCCTTGTATCCTGATACTTTTCAGTAGTAGTAGTAGGCTTTACTGGCAAGCTGGTTAGGTGCCATACGTGTGAGATATCAAAACCACTTGATTGTTTGCCTTCGAATGTAGTGGAGGACAGGTGTTATTCCCACCATTTCTCTGATCTTGTTGTTTCTGACCATGTCCCGTCTGGTTGTGTTGACGGCTCTCCTTAAACATCACATCTCGCAGGTGGTTATCTTACGTTCTAGACTTTTGGTCAGGGTCCATGTCTGGCACTGGTAGTGGTAGGTCAAGGTGTGGATGAAGATAGAGTTAATGAACTTGGCTTTGGTCTCAATTGGGATGTTAGGATGTTTGAGGAGTGGGGCAAGCTGGTAGCTGACGTTGTTAGCCTTTTGTACTCTCGTCTCAATTTGGCTGTTGAGACGTCCGTCTTCCGAAAAGATGCTTCCAAGATACTTGAACAAGATAACGTTCTTTCTCAAAAGTGCTCCCGGTACTTGTATGGAGAAGAGTCTAACCATCACCCTACGGACGTCTTGTTCAATGTGATGTAATAAGAAAAATTCTTATTCTTATTATAATGTTCAGTCCTGCTCGCGAAAGGAACTTTATTTTGAAATAAACCGAAAAGCTAAAACAAAGACAATCCCGAAAAAATAAAATAAAAGCAACAACAACAACAACAACAACAACAACAACAACAACAACAACGACGACGACGACGACGACGACGACGACGAAGACGACGAAGTCTAGAAGTACTGTGTTCGCCTCTCATTAAATAGGTCCTGGGTTAGAAACCTGACAGCGACGGAAAATTTTCTTCTCGAAAAAATGTTTCTCCTTTTTCTCCTTTCATGCCCTCTATCTCCTGTCGTCTCCACTTTCTGCCCCCCCCCCCCCCTCTATGCCCCCTCTTATGGGCTCCTGGCTCTTTTTGCAGCCTTTCTACTGCTGCTAATTGGCTCCTTCTTACTGCTGTCTTTCAGCCCCACCCTTAATTTTAGGGTAGGTAAGATCTAACATCTGACCTTCTCGGATAAGGGCGAACAAGTCTCGTAGGTCCCGTGTGCAAGTTGCGCACGTTAAAAATTCCTTGGTGGTCCTTGGCTGTCTAAAATCGATAATACTAGTCTTCGGCCGCCACCCGGCCTGGAGCTGTGTTCGGGAGTAGGTGCCATAGAAATAATAATAATAATAATAATAATAATAATAATAATAATAATAATAATTTTTTTATTTAAAAAATGTTTACTTTTGTTGTTGTCGTCGTCGTCGTCGTCGTTGTCATCATTATCATCATTATCATCATCATCATTGGAAGAAATCATCATTGGAAGAAGCTAACAAGTCATTCTTTCCCCCATTACCTCTTGCTTTCAGATCGCAACATTCTCCGAGTGACAAACGACTGATAACCCAAAGAGTCTACGTATAGACCAATCATGGCTTCACCCTCCATCAAATTGTGGTATTTTGACTTCAAAGGGCGAGCTGAGGGCATCAGGCTTCTGCTCTCTGCAGCTGGGAAACCATTTGAAGACATTCGATTTAAGAGAGAGGAATGGCCAACGTACAAAAAAGGTACAACAACAGCAGCAGCAACAGCATCAACAGCTACAGCAACAACAGCAGCAACAACAACACATCATCAACCAGAAAAACAACAACAACAACAATAGCAACAACAACACCACCACCACCACCACTACAAACAACGACCACAACAACATCATCACCATCATCCTCATAACAACATCAACAGTAACTACAACAAAAGCAACAACACTTCACGTTTACTTTATTCTGTGTCCTCTTATACCACGAAGTGTTGAGCCATGATGGGGGAGATGCAATTGAGGGCGTGGACCAGGCATGCTGTTATTTTGATCGCCCTGATAATTGTTTAGTTAGTTTTTAGTTTTAGTAAGAGTTTTACGGCACTTGCAACACAAAACGGTCACATAATTGCCGAGGATAAGGGGTGTTACAAGAGAGTTACGAACATAAAGAAAAGAAAGAGGAGAGATCAGGACGATAGATGTTTGATGGGAACGAAGTTAATTGTTCCTTTGGGGGGGTATCTAGATCTGATAGACTATATTGTTATTATGAGGACACAGTTGCATAACAGGCAAACAGATATTTGTGATGAAAGAGGAAAACAAAAGAGGAAAAAAATGCCGATAACACAGCACCTAGTCGGTAGATGTGCCGACTTCAAAGAGTTAAATCCTCGTCCTCCTCGTCCTCCTCGTCCTCCTCGTCCTCCTCCTCCTCCCCCGCCTCCTCCTCCTCCTCCTTCTCCTTTCTTCTTCTCCTCCTCCTCCTCCTCCTCCTCCTCCTCCTCCTCCTCCTCCTCCTCCTCCTCCTCCTCCTCCCCCTCCTTCTCCTCCTCCTCCTCCTCCTCCTCCTCCTCCTCCTCCTTCTTCTTCTTCTTCTTCTTCTTCTTCTTCTTCTTCTTCTTCTTCTTCTTCTTCTTCTTCTTCTTCTTCTTCTTCTTCTTCTTCTTCTTCTTCTTCTTCTTCTTCTTCTTCTTCTTCTTCTTCTTCTTCTTCTTCTTCTTCTTCTTCCGTATATCTATACATACATACATGTGTTTTTTATACAACAGTGTCTCCATTTTCTTCTGCTTTCAGATGCACCGTTTGGACAGTCGCCGTATGTGGAAATTGATGGAGTAAAATATGGACAGAGCTTAGCTATTTTGCAGTACTTTGCCAGGGAGTTTGGTGTGTATATATTTCGGAGGAAATATTAAGTTATTTTTCTGCGTAAAAGGAAGAATGTTTTGTTAGTATGCAATCACTAGAACTAGAACGTATAAAATGAGGAATGTCTTTATAGTCTACATCACATGGCCAAAGCCTGGTACGACATTAATTTGTCGTCACATTTTTTTTACAAAAAAGAAAAACGTGAAAAAGAAATGATAACCCTACGGTGTTGGTTACTGTCATCATCTTTTTGCGAATTCCAGTCTTGTAGGATTAAAATTTGCTGTTTCAGAGGTCGTTACACGAAGAGATAATTGAGAGTGCAAGCAAAAGGGGGGGGGGGGGGTTAGATAGATAGATAGACAGATAGATAGATAGATAGATAGATAGATAGATAGATAGATAGATAGATAGATAGATAGATAGATAGATAGATAGATAGATAGATAGATAGATAGATAGATAGATAGATAGATTAGTTTTAGTAAAATTTTTACGGCACTTGCAACACAATGAGGTCATATAAGTGCCGAAGATTAGAGGTGTTACAAGAGAGTAACAAACACAAAAAGAAGGAGGAGAGATAAAGACGATAGTTATTTGATAAGAAAGAAGAAGCAAACCACACCAGAGCACTCGCCAACCAACCGCAGATAGATAGATAGATAGATAGATAGATAGATAGATAGATAGATAGATAGATAGAAAGAAAGAAAGAAAGATAGATAGATAGACACACGTACATACACAGACACAAACCCAAACACATAAAAAACAAATAACTACACTTGCGCGGGAGTGTACCTGGGTACAATAAATGTAAGTACTTGGGTGCGAACGTGTGAAATAATTGTGCTCGTTTACGTGTGTATCATGTTTGCTTTACTGACAGCTAATAAAAGCATTTTGTTAAATAATGTGCAAGCTTGAGTATTTATTATCATCATCTTCAACACAGAAAAATAAACATTTTACACATTTTCACTAATTAGTAATTTTCATG